AAATGGTATAAGTATATATTACTATAAACTGCATATTTTCACAGACTAGAAATTAGTGAGACATCTGAATACCATTCATGTCTCTTTGGAATTCTATTCACATCAACAATTAAATCACAGCTATGTACTACAATTCCCACCTTCACATTTTTGATATAATTTATTGCCCAGTTCTCATTTTTAAACTTTTATTTTCCACAGTCCCTATATACATTCATTTGAGCCTGTCTGTTGAAGGCAGCATCTTTTTGCATACCTAAGACTATCATCTAGCTTACAAAAGAAGTCTTTACAACAGATTCTTTTCACAGTAGTTCAAGAGTTCAAGGCATGTTTTCGCAATGTCAAAATGCAATAGTTTTGACATTTGTAATATGTTCTTAGGTATAAGAAGAGTCACACTACCAGAAGAAAAGTATAATTAGTATTAGTGCTTTGAAAGTTAATCCAAAATGCCTTTTTGAATCTAATTTTCTGTTTCTAGGGCATTTTAAAGTCTGAAACACCAATCAAGTTTGACTAATCTTATCCAGTTGGGTCAGGAGAGCACACGAGCTTGACAACAGTCATTGCAGAAATGAACTAGTCTAATATTTTGCTCAAATACCCTCATTTGATATAAAGAGAAGAAAAGTACTGGATCTTTAAAATTGCTAGTTACTTATACTTAGCTGATGAAAATCTGGAAATACTGGTAAATCTCTGTCTATGCTTGACTTTCTTAGAGCCTGACATGCTACTCTCCCATTACAGGTAAAGCCAAAGCCAAAGAATAGAATAGCTTCATCCATAGAATGAAAACTCAGTGGACATATGGAAATCAAGGTCCATGTGACTTGTTCAGATTTTCTTGTTTGAAAAAAGAATTTATCAACAGGATACAACCTCACTTGTTCTCTTGGGAATGCTGAGCTGAAAAGTCCAAGTATTTATTCTAAGTTCTGTGTTAATTTGCAGATGTCAAGAATTATTTTGAACTTTAGCTCTCATTTCCTAATGATGAAAAGGGGAGGCCATTTTTATGTGGATATAGAAACACATAGTGTCCTTTTCTGAAAATTATAAAATTATATCTAGAGAAAAGAGCTAACTGCATTTTGGGGGGGGGTCTTTTTTGAGACAGGGTCTCCCTGTAGCCCCAGCTTTCCTGGAACTCACTATGTAGACCAGGCTGGCCTTGAACTCACAGAGATCTTCCTGCCTCTACCTCCCGAGTGCTGGGATTAAAGGCATGTGCCACCACACTGGGCTCCAGCTGCATTTTTTACTTCTGTCCTCAGCTGCCCGCTCCCCAGCTGTGAGTGTTTGTGTGGAGCACAACTGAATGGGGCACTGCATTTAGGAGGTTAATTTCCTGCTACACTTAGGTTCTTAGTGATTTTATTAATAATAGATTCTGAAAACCTAGAGTAAAAATCTTCTAATTAAAATTGTTAGGTCCAGGAAGAAAAAACTTCTTCTAGCATAACATGAATGGAGCATCAGAAGATATGTTTCTCTCTGACAGTATTAAAATTAGGATGAGATGGGACCCATATTCTCTCAAACGTTGTATTCATCTGTAATATTGTATTCATCTGTAACTTATTAGAGAAGAATCCTGGCCATTACTAATAAATTTTAAAGTGAAGATGGCTGTCTAATTTCAGCATAATATGATATATCTAACACAATGGCTTAATTTAAAAAGATGGAGAAGAAATAAAAACAGAAATAGCTTGAACAGTAACATAGTGGGCCCTGTATTTCACTCTCTTTTCAAGTAACTGACTTAATCAAGTGGAATTTAGCAAGCCAGACAGTCTTTCTAAAGTGTAATAGAAAGTCATTTCTGCCATTGACAAAGTCCTCTTTCTAGTGCCAAGAGAATAATTACTGGTGAACTTATGAAGCAAAACCTCTTATACACGGGTGGGGAATTAAAATCTTGTTAAGAAACTCAGTGTGTAACAGTCTGGACAGGGCTGGAACACAAAGAAAGACAGGAGCTATGAGTAAGTCAGAGCTCAGTAAATTTTGAAGGATTCTTAGTTCATTGGAAGAAAATTAATGTTGAAGACAAAAGTGAGAGAAAGATCAGACGATATGACACTAAACATAGATGCACCAAACCATCTTTTATCCCACTCCAATGCATAAGACCAATCTATACAGAAAAGGGAGCAGGAGAAGGGTCTGGAGATTTCTCAAGTCGTTACTTGCATTAAAAACTTTCCCTTCCTATCCCTTTATCTTTTCTCTTCTTTTCCTTTCCTTTCCTTTTTGATCTTCCCTTCCTTCCTTTCTCTTTTCAGTACTGAGGATTGAACCTAAAGTCTTGAAAATGCTAGGTAAGCACTCCACCACTGAGCTGCATCCCAGCAAGCACCAAGAACAGCTATACACTCATCATTCTTAATTGTGTTTGTCAGTTTTATCAGCACTCTAGGGTTTATCTATCTAACATGACAACATTTTACAACCCTTGCTTTGCCTATTTTCATTTTCTTACTGAGCTCAGCCCAAGCAAATTATTTCAGTAGAAATGCACAGAAAAGTTGGATTTGATCCTCAGCATTGAATGGCATGTTATGGTAGTGCACATACATGGCAGGTTGAGATACACATTGGTTCGGTTTTTAATTTTCAAAAGTTTTTGGTCAGGCTGCATGGTAGGTGTCACCACTGGATTCTGCAACAATTAGTAGTCATATAATTTCTGATCTTCAGTTTCTTAATCTAGTAAATATTGAAATCATGTTATAAAGTCTCATAATCTAGCATTTAAATTCTGGTTTTCATTTTTCACTGTGACATATCTGAAATAATTTATATCACTAAAACATTCCTTAGAAAGATAAAATTCCACAATGATTAAGTTAAATATTAGTTATGTTTTAAAATAATTAAGAACTAACTATAAGTTGGAAGATGGTTAAAAAACATTAATTTTCTGAAGTAGGTAAAAAAATAAAGAAAAACTACAGGGCAAAAAGAAAGTCAAGCATCTGAAAGTTTTGCATTAAAATTCTTTGGAAAACTGCCTATATTCTAGAAACTGTACTTATTATTAAATTTTTAATGAGTGTGTTTCATTCCAGAATTTTTCTTATTTTAAAGATCCTTGTACAAAACAAAAAGCCCTCAAATAAATTACAGTCTATAATAGTGAATAAAATCAAAGAAAATATCAGCATGTGGAGCTAGGACAAGTGTTGCCAGACACAGCAATGTTGTGTTCCACAAAGGATAAAATATCTTCAAACAATACAATGACACCACTTTAAGATACCAATAATAAACATTTCTAAGTAGCTTATAATGTTGATTTGTGATGTTATTTTAGAAATAGTTATTGAAGGCTTCACCTAACAACTTAGGATTTATTTGCTATTATTACCTAACTTCTTGATGGGAAATGAAAGTTTCCACATCTTAAATAAATTTATTTTAGCCAAATAGAATTTCATATTTATTTTCAGTAATCAATCAGAAACTATTCCCAAGTAATGTGAAATTGTGCATTGATCCTTGTAGGATGGCAGATGCCCCCCTCCCTGCTTTCAGACAGTGTGCCAAGTAGTTCCTGGGACTCTTGCTTAGATTCCAAGATAGCCCTGAGTTTGTTCTGCCCCAATAAGACACATGGTAGCAAAATCCCAGGGCAGTGGGATTTCCCATTGTCTAATCATTTGCAATTGTAGAAGTACCAGAGACAAGAAGACATCATGGAACTTCTCACCCAATGAATGTGCTGTAGGTTTTTCATTTTAAAGTTAAAGCTGATTTTGAATGCTTCAGACATTGCAACCAGGTTACTATTTTCATACAATTATGGAAATTTAAAATGCAAAGTTAATTGAAAGTATAAAGATGAAAAGCAAGTGTGATGCCTAAAATAGAGCATGGCAGTCATATTTCACTTAACTCTCAAGGCAGAACATAAATTTAAAATTCTTGATGTGACATGCCAAATATTTTAGACATGGAAGAATGCATACAACGAGTTGGCACTGATTACAAACTTAAACCCATAACTTATAAAGCAACAAATTCATGCTCAAATATTGACAACAAATAATGCTTCTCATATTTTCAGGGAGTGATGCTGTGCATAAATCCTGTCATTGCTTCATACAGTACTGAAAATTCACAATAGCATTCCCTCGAGCTTTATATTACACCCCAAAGCCAAGATATTCGAAAGAGCAAAGGAATACTGACACTCCACACATAGCCTAAGAATATTTTTTTGCTCATAACAAAATTTAAAAGAAACAAATATTGCATGAGATTCCATTTTTAAAAGTAATATAAAATTTAACAGCAAGGTATTTACAGTAAATTTGCCTGATGCACTAATCTTTATTTTTTTTATAAGTGAGCAGTTTCTATGTATAGTCATATTGAGAGTTAAGGAACAACTTCAACTTTTATTGTTTTCCTTATATTTTTGTTGCTCTGTCCTTTTGTAAAAATGTATTTAGCAATTCAAATATAAGATTATTCACTTAGGAATTACAGTTAAACAGCAGAACAAGCAAAACATCTCAAAATGTGCCAATGTATAGATTTTTCCACAGTGGCTGCTAAACCAATAAAATATAAATTATCTTTAGATACCCCAATAAATTATAAAACATAGTAACAAAATAAAGACGTTAAGACATCCTCTCTTAAAAATTCAGTAAGTATATTCACCAAACATTGGTAAATAAAATGGGACATATTATTTTTGTTTATTGGAGATTCGAGTACAACCATGTAAGTAAATACCTTCACTCTCCTACATGCAGAAACAATGTGTGAAATAAGGTAACAAACCCAAGCAAGATTACCCTTCCACGTAGCACTTTTTAAAAAGTCCATTCATATGGGTGCTTTTTGAAACTGAAGATATATTTAGACTGTACCATCTAAATAAAGATACTTTCTAAATATTTTGCAATTTGGAAGTGATTTTCAGACCTATTCTAGAAACCCATTGTCATACAGAACTCAAGACATTCCACTGTGTATTTTATCTGTCAATTTACTTTCTTTCCCTCAAATGCAGTGCATTTTCCCACTCCCAAATTAGACTTTAAAATCCCTGAGGGCAGGACCTATCTCTCTTTTTATTCTCTCTTGCACCCAATATTGTGGCAAGCAAGATATGGGGTGCTGTCATTAAAAGTGGATGAATACATAAATGAGAAGAAAAGTGTGTGCAAGCCCCACAGCTGTCAGGCTTTTTTGTCTTTCTTAACTCAATCACATGAAGATGGATTCAGTAATATATTTCCCTAGTAAAATGAAATATATTCACCAAGTTGTATTCTATGTGGAAAATAAATAGGTACGTCCTTCAGAAAATTATTCCCCAAGTTGTGCTTTGTGGAATACCTAAATGCTATATAGTAAAATTTTCTCCTACCTTAAAAGGTCTCCTCTGGGGTTAAATATTTGGCCTTAAAAATATTCAGGTAGCATGTCTTTACTGCTGACCATGATACGTTAATGTGCAGTGTCACTCTCCAAGACGCTACAAAGAGCACTTTTTTCTGGAAACATCTAGGCAAAAGAATGTTCTAAGGAACGAAGTTTGAGAAATATTGTTTTGTAAGAATAAAAGATACCATGTTAAATCTCCCTCACCAAAGCAGTACAGTGTATTTGAAGGAAATGCTTGGTGTCTTATTAAATATTCACCGATAGGAGAGTAGAAGCAAAGCTACCAAAACTCTTTACCCTTGGTTCCTCTAAAAACGGCAGGGGGTATCAGCTGATTGCTGTGGTACTCTGCATGGGTTAATTGTTAAACTTTTTTGGAGTTTTCTCAAATTTCCTAAAACTGTTTCCTTATTTCCTCTTCCCTTTCAGTTTTTTTCTTTCTAAATAAATACCCCTTAATTACATCTTAAGACATACATCTTCTGACAATGTATATTTATGATGGATTAATCTTTGGCAGTGTTCAGAAAACATCTTCTTAACAAATGGGATAACTATTACTATATGAATAGATATGGTTCTAAGATTTTTTGAAGGTCCATTACGATTTTACAAAATGACTCAATACACTTTTTAAAGGACTAAATTAAAAGTATCATAATTGAAGATGTTTCTGCATAGAAAGAAAAGCACTATAGGAATTCAAGGGAAAGTGGTGGTTGTCACAAGATTTGGACTGATTGCCAAGTCTGACATTACTTCTGCCACTCTGGAGCTTTTCTCAATGTTTCAAGACATCAGGCAGCTTTTTTTCAAAATTAGAAACAACAACTTTAATGACTTTCCAACTATTCATCTTAGGAACTGCTGTTGTAGTGGGTTATGAAGACTAGGGGAACAGAGGGGAGCCACCAATAGAGACTCAGATCTTGCTTTCATATTCCACTTACTAGCTCCATCTTTCCAGGCTTTATATATTAAAATTCTGGGAAATATTTATTTTTAAAGTGTCCAGCTAATTTGTAAAGTTATGTTTCACTATTAAATATACTGTAGTTCACATCTTTAATATGTTTATCTCACTCATATGCTATTGGTTCAAGTAAAACAAAAAAATCTAATGTAGCTTATTTTATATTTATAATATCTTTCTCATTAAATTGGGGAAAAATGCACTTTGTCACCTTTGAAAATAAAATTAAAGACAACATGGAGACTGGAGAAAGTCAAGTCCTGCCCATGTTTAACTTTAGAGTTAACTTTTCATGTTGCCTTCAGGGCACTTTAAATACTGTAGTGAATTATCATTGAGGTAGAACTAAAACAAAACAAAGCAAAGCAAAATATTTACACAAAGGGGTGATGGGATGGAAGGTGTGAGAGATTTCTTCATGACTTGGCTATCCTTCTCAGGCTTTGCAGTCTTCCTTGACACAAAGCTGAGAGATGGTCTTCTTAACACGGAGGGCAGTGAGTCGAGCTGCCCCATTGGCATACCAGCACTCACGCATTATTCTCCCCATGACCCGGAGTGCCTTCAAGAGAGAGAAAGACACAAAGGTTTGAGATACACAAAAACAGTATAGAAGAAACAAAATCCAGAGGGTGATGCTTTGTTGAGAAACAATAGCAAAATTAAAACTGGGCCAAACTTCTTGAAAATCCTACCAAGATACAAATAATTAGCCTTGTAGAGACTGACTTAATGAAACCCATTGGTTTCTGGGATGTAGTACAATGGCTATCTTTTAAAAACCTCTAAGGGGTATGACAGCTGAGGGCTGTGATGCAAGCCTATAATCCCAGTACTTTTGGAAGGCAGAAGCAGGAGGGTCAGGAATTCAAGGTCAGTCCAGCCACTTGAGACCCTAGGTCAAACAATAAACAAGTAAAAAGAGGCATGAAAGGCATTGAGCGATGTGAAAAAAGTTGTAAATTCCCTGTTACACTTCATCAGACATGCATATACATGAAAAAGCTCATCAAGCTGAATACTATGATTTGCAGTTTTTACCATCTATAACTACATAATATAAATTATGACCATAATGATCCAAGCAAATTACTGAAACTATGAATTTTAAGTCAGCGTAAATGAACTGTTGAAGAAGATAAATACTTAGAGAAGAAGTGAATGTGAATGCATGAAACCCAAGATCCAGGGAGTCACCAAATCAGTGGCCACTCCAGTGGCATCCACGGATCTAGAACCTCAGAATGAGGAGCCACAGGTGAAACACAGGAAAGCCAGCCTAAGACATCACGAAAGCTGTGCTGAAAAAGCCCTGAATTCAGTCTGGAATCTTGAGACTGCAGGATGGCTCAGCAGGTAAAGGCACTTGCTGCCAAGCCTGACCATCTAAATTTTATCCTGGGGCCCACATGTGAGAGAACTCACTCTCGGCAGGGTGTTCTTTGACCTCCACTAGCAGGTCATGGCACACGCCTGCAATCCAATTCACATATAAAGAAATTAATACAAATAAATAAATATGAATCAGTCCCAAAAGAAAGTTTGTAGGGGAAATTGTTTGACTTTGGGTGAAGGAAAAAAAAATCAAGCCTGCAGTTCTAAATTTTGCAGTAAACCTGAGCTCATTATGAAAATCTGCGCACACATACACATACACACACACACACACACACACACACACGAAAACAAGATGCCAATAAGCAAGAGTCACTTGAAACAATAGTCAGTAGAATCAATGTTATAACTTAATAATATAAAATATGCATTAAAAAGAAATAAAATTCAATGCATTAAAAAAGAAATAAAATTCAAACTACCTATATATCAAAAATAATTTTAAAAACCTAGTGGATGAGCTAAACGGCATATTAGACACATCTGAAGGAAAAATAAAGAAACTGGAAAATAAATCTAAGAGATAAAGTATAAAGACACCAATATTGAAAATATCAGTAAAGCAAAGTAGAATCTGAAAGTTAGCATACAGCCAATGAGTTTCCAAAAATAGAAATGGAGCCATGAAATAATTATCTGAGGAGATAACATCACAGAATCTACCAGAATGGAGGAATGTCACAAATCATAAGCATTAGAACAGTCTGAGGTCCAAACAAGGCTAACCAAGAAAGCCAGGTATGGTGGTGCACCTGTAATCACAGCACTCAGAAGTTGAAGCAGGAAGATCATTCCTCACGGCTCAGGGAAGATGGGGCGGAAAGATTCTAAGAGCCAGAAGTCAGGGAGGATCAGAGCAAAGCCATGCCTTCTGGACATGACAGGACCAGGACCACTGCATTCACAAACTCACAACAGCTGTGGTTGCCTACACAAGACCTGTACAGATCAAGCCACTTAACATTCTGGCATGAAGAGGAGGGGTCCACAGGCTGCCACCATTAACTGTGGAGCTATGACTTCTGGAGGAGAGAAAGATGGTTTTCTTTAAGTGTGGCTCCTGGAAGGTCGACCATGCTCCAGTGCATGGCCCCACACCCAGAAGTACACGGACAGCACAAATTGGAGTCAATGGGCTCTTCACTTTTTAAAGAAGAAGACACAATGTTGGGCAGTAGGGAGGTGAGGGTGGCTCTGGGAGCCTGGGAGGAGTTAAAGGGAGGAGATAAGGATGTATATGATCAAAATATACATTATGAAATTCTCAAAGAAAAAATATTAAATAAATAAGCATTTAAAAAATAAACACAAAAAAAGTTTGAGGCCATCCTGGGACCTTGTGTCAAAAAACATGAAACAACAACAACAAAAACAAATAAAAAAGACTGCCCATGAGATAGAGAAACTGTAGAACACCAAAGACAGAGAAGTCCTTAAACCTAATTAGAAAAAGAAGACAGAAGATGGGGCAGATTTTTATTAAAAGGAAGCCAGTTTTTATTTAACCTAAAAAACATGTAGCAGTCATACTCAATAGTGAAAAAAAAATTAAGGAGAGCAAAGGTACCTACTACCAGTTTCAGGTAACATTATATGAGAGACCCTAAACCTACAGTAAGGAAGGAACATGAGGTTCGTTCTAGAACTCTCACTGTTTGGAGTTATGACTATCTTCTATCAAAAGAAGCAATATTCCTTAGAAACTTTTCCAACATATATACTTATATACTGTGATGGATATTTCTTTATGACTTTTTGTTATATTTAATAATGTGTATGTGTGTCTATCTACATCTTATTATATGCATGTGAGTACAGGTGTCCATGGAAGCCAGAGGCATCAGACCCTTCTGGATTTGGAGTTACAGGCAGTTGTGCGTCACCTAATGTGGGTTCTGGGAACTGAACTTTGGTCTTCTGCAAGAGCAGCAAGTGTTCTTACTGTTGAGCCATGTATCCAGTCCAGGATATTTTTTTTAAGATCTATCTTCTATTTTTATGTGGGTATATGTATGTGTGCATGTATTTATGTGCACATGCCCAACAGTGCCCAGAAAGGCTAAAAAGAGGGTGTCAGATCTCCTGGAGCTAGATTTACAAGCAGTTGCCAGCCACCCAATGTGGGTGCTTGGAACCAAACTTGGTCCTGTGGAAGAGCAGCAAGTTCTCCTAACTGCTAAGCCATCCCTCCAATACCTGTGATGGATAATCTTAATTGTAGCTTGATGGAATTTACAACCATGTTAGAAACATACTTTTGGAAGTGTTGATCAGGTTGTTTCCAGAAAGGTTCAAGTCAAGAGATAAGATGTACTCTAAATGTAGGTGGCACTGGCTGGGGTCCTGGGCCAAACAGAAAGGAGAAAGCAAGCTCAGCACCACCATGCTTCTCACTCTGCTTCCTGACTCAGGCTACCATGTGACCAGTTTTCACATGTTCCTGCTGTCATGCCTTCCCCACCACGATGGACTGTACCTTCAAACTGTGCACTGAAATAATCCATCCCCTCCTTAAGTTGCATTTGTCAGATATTTTGTCACAGCAACAACAAAAGTAACTAATACATATAGCAAGCTCATTTTTAGTAAAACAAGCTATAAGTCAAGTATGAGAACCAATACATGAATGGACAAAAAATTCTGCTATATCCACATAGATGAATTTCACATATGCATATATAGTGAAAACTTGAAAATATCTATAATAAATTTAACTCATCATTTTCATACATATACAAAAAAAATGACATCTTTTAGGCTATGTGTACAAATATACTCATGGCAAAAATATACAGAAAATCAATGCAATAATAAGGAAATAATAATTAATTATAATGTTAACCATTCAGCAAGGTGAAGAAATCCCAAAAGGTATTGGAAATGTCCTACTTCTCAAACTTTTTACTCACTAGTTTTCATTTTACTATTATATTTTAAACTTTACCAATTTATATTTTCATGTGATTAAAATGACTAATATTAGAAAAATTTAATTTTTTTCAATTATAATGGTCTCAAAGTCTCCTTCACAAATAAACATACGGGTAAAATAACTACACAAAAGATAAAAATGCAAAGACTTGCCTTACACGAAAAAAGGGGTTGAGGAACAGGAAAGGAGAAAACAGGGCAAAAAGGCAAGTCTATACAGCTGTCCCTATAATGAGGTAAAACTAAAAGGTGCCTCCTAAAAACAGGAGAAGGAGGAGGAGCAGGAGCAGGAAAAGCAGCAGGAGCAGTAGGAGGAGGAAGGTAAAAGCCTTACTTCACAGCTTTGCCACTGGTTTGGGATACTTGGTCGGAACTTCTGATCACAAACCACCTTCCTCATCTCTTCTATGGAGGGATCTGAAGGCACCATGTCATAATAAGGCAGCTGATACTCCTCAACAATTCCTGTAAGAAATTTGCATACTAAATTTCTCTGTATAATAATTAATAAGGATAATATATATACATATATATATGTATATATCAGACAAAAACCCAGCATAGAACTGGAGAAATGGGCAGCAGGCCCCAACCCTAGCCAAGGACCTACTGGCAACTGATTACTGTGGGATGAAGGAGAGTAGATATTCTTTAAGGGAGTGACTCTAGGCAGGCTGACTAGACTCTAGTGGATGAACTTGGACCAAGGGACAAGGGACACCTGGGTACAAATGCTTGACTGGACAGGACTTAATATACATGACACAATGTATGAAATCTGGTGTATGGGAGGTATAGGGGGGTATGGATGGGGGAGGGAGTCTAAATTTGAATAAGACCTATTATATAAAATGCACAAAAACTCAATAGAAAATATTAAGAAAAATAAATAGTAATAGAATAAAATAAAACTAAGGATTAAGTTTAAATCACTCAGTTGAATACTTATGTAATATGACATTTATATTATAAATATATAATATATGCAATTAGTTATATAATGCATAAAATATTTCATGATTTATATAATTTTATGATTATAAAAATAAAACATCATCTCCAAAAATGTTGGGAATTTTTGTTTTCAGAAAATGCCATTATACGATTCAAAAATGGTACTGAATTTTTCTAATTGCAATGTTTGTAGCATAACATCATTACTCTGTGAATAAAGCATATTTCTCTATCAAATAAAGTTTTCAAAACAGATTGTACCATGGACTGCACTGTACCCATACACAGAGAGAGAGAGAGTGAGAGAGATCCTACACATGCACTTCCATAAATAAATGAATAAAAAACTTTATGCAACCTTTAAAAGTTTCATTTCTCACATTCAGATCTTAGAACTACTACTAAGAGTGTTCTGAAAGTGGTCAGAATAGCTGAAAATGGACAGTTCAGCATAAATGCCGTTAGACTCAAATGCACAAAGCTTACTATAGTTATTAGAATATTACTTGAATTCCCAGAAATTCCTTATAATATCTTATGAAATATGAAATTTTTACCAAAAATGCTAAAAGTCTTAATATGCCCTCTAAACATTGTTCTGAGCCCTTTATACGTTATAACTAATTACCTTCCCAAACCATGGACCAAAAATGGTACTATCCCTAGTTTGCAGTGAGAAAACTGAGGCCCAGAGTACCATGAATGTGCTCAGGAATACTTGACGTGATGAATTCATTCAACTCTCAAAGTCTAAGGATTGGTTTCATCATTTTAAAGGTAAAGAAATTGAGATGAAGCAAGTTGCCTAAAACCTGACATTCAAGGAGTTTCTAAACAAAGTCTTCATCTTATGTGTGTCTCACTTTAAAAAATTGCTTTATACTTGGGGGCTGGAGAGGTGGTTCAGTCATTAAGAGCACTGGCTACTCTTGAAGAGGACCTAGGTTCGAATCCCAGCACCCACATGGTGGCTAATAGTCATCTGTAACTCCAGTTCCAGGGGATCCGACTCCCTCTTCTGACCTCTGTGAGCATTGTATGACGCAGGCGTACTTACATACATGCAGTTAACACACTCATACACATACAAAATAAAAATAATAAAAATTTTTAATTGCTTTATATTAACATTTAACTTTTTCTCCATTGATACAACAATTTCACTAGACTCCATTGGAAGACCTCATGCACCTGCTTTCTTCCTCTCCTAAACTGCAGAGGTAGGAGGTTAGCTGTTGCTTACCTCCCTCTCCACTTTATCCCTCCACATACTCTTTACACAGGTAAGAGAACAGGAAAGGCCTAATCAACAGAAGGCTTTAAGTCCTGTGGCCTTCCAAAGTCATTCACTTCTTTGGGAATAGAAGTAGGGGTACAGTTCACTCCTTAAAAACTCAAATCAGATCATTTTCAAATGCCTCAAAATAATCGTTACGGGCGTCTGAATGATCATCACTTCCACCTGCATCTAAGTGGAACTCAAAATATAAAAATTCCATTGTGTCTACTGGTGTTTTACTCTTGCCACTGCAAAAAAAAATCACTGAAAAAATTCTCTTGAATATTTAGAAACAATTCAGTACACTAAGGGAAAACAATATAGAAAATCACATTTTGCATTCAGAGCACCAAGGAAAGGTGAAGGACATTTCCAAACTTCTACCTCCAACTGAACACCTCCGGGCTATTTCCCAATAAACCAGACCCACAGAATAGATGTCAGCTCGCTTGAAGGACTCAAAGATGCTGAAGTTCATCGTATCATCAAGCATTTCAGGAGCCATATACCTGCAAAAATATGCACGTTCAGACTCGGTGTGTGACTTTAAATCAATCCAGTAAAATACCATCTTAATAAATCTTCATACAAAGTAGAAATTAAGACAGTTTACATCAATTTCAAAGGTGCATCTCAGGTACATAATAGAGTAAAATTAAATAGCAAAGTTATTGACTGAACCATCATTTTAAAAACATTTTAAATAAAACTAAAGGCCATATATTTTGGAATTATAACAGGTGCACTAGGAGCCTTGTACTTAGAAAATATAAATTGAAGGGAAATTTGATGAGCAAAGCACTTAACATCAGAAATAGAACTCAACATCTCAAGAGTTTGTCACTACAGAAAGTACCCTTATGACAAACAGTGGACTTCACTCGTCATGGTGGGCCCAAGTCTCCAATACACAGCTAGGCAGCAGTCCACAGATACCTTCTCAGAATGAAGAATTTCACTATATATTGTGCCAAGAAAAGTATAGCCTCGCTCGAATAAAACCTAGTGGAAGAAGTCCTCCAGACCCTGGAAGCTGGCTGAGCCCAGCTGATCTGTGGAGAGCTGGTAGATTTCCCAGTCTACTAAAGTAAAGATGCAACACCCTTTGAGTTCTTTTCAAAATGTTAGGTCTTCCAACAGAAACCAGCACCCAAGCCTTCCCTGAAGGTCCCGGATGTGAGATAGATAGGCAGGTTAAGGCCATCTGTCATTTACAGGAAAAGAAGAGAGGTCCCTGAGGGCTGCCCAGTATGAATATGCCACTCTTGACAGTCTCTGTGACCTCATTAATGTCTGCAGCAGACAGCAAGGACTTGCAGGCACTGTCCTGAAAACTCAACTGGCTTAGAGGCCAGCTTTACCAGCTTAGACATTCTCTGCTCTCAAGGGCTTTAACACCTCCAGGAAAATATTTTGATTGTTGTTATTTCAAGGTCAAGAGCTTTGGAATTACAAGTAAGTAGCACATAATGGAAAGGGAAGTAGAGTGGCAGAGCAGCCACCTGCTGTTCAGAGCAAGAAACACACCTGAAGTCCCATGACTAATGAGCTTGTCCTATTCATGGGTTGTGTTCCACAGACAACATGCTTGCTCTTAACTTTATTATTATGTTCTGTTCCCCAAAGTGGGAATTATTTCCAAACTCATATTACCTTACTATCCATCACTTTGGGAGACTTAAGAATAAGTGCAGCTAGAGGTAATACATTTCCATATCATATAGGTAAATGTTAAGGGAATATGACATCACATAAATGGATTTATGACAGAGTCCCTAAACTACCTATTCCAATGCACTGATTTTGCATGTGTTGCTTAGAACCTGAGCCTGTACACCATGCCCTGAGTTTTAGTTTGCTGATGAGGCACAAAGGCTTTAGACTAACTTCCTATACATTGCTGGGAGCTTTTCTTATCTGCAGAAAAAGGCATCCAGACAATTAAAATATCATGCCACATTAAAATAGCATGACACTGTCTCTCCCACTAGTACCCTCCACTGACTCTGCACCCAAATGGCTACTGCACATGGGTAAAAATGCCAACTCTCCCACTTTATAATCACTGGGCCCACTGGCTTTTCGGTGTCTCAGATAAACTTCTTGCTTTCTTGGGCCTAACATCTTCCCATTTGAACCTATATACACTTACATCATAGAGACTCATGCTTTGGGGTCAGTCATATAAATTTTAGGACACTTCCAGTATAAGTCACCTTACCTCTTGGTTCCCACTTTAGGATTCTGAGGTATGTCTATGGTATTTGTGACTGAATCATGCTTCACAGCCAACCCTAAATCTGCTATGGCACAAGTGTCACACTTTTTCACTAAGATGTTCTTTGACTTTATATCTCGATGAGCAATAGCAGGTTTGCCTACAAAAAATGAGAAAAGCATATTTATCTTTTTGTTACTGAAGGCTGAGTCTCTCCTAGTGAATCACTTAGAAGACTTGGCTCAGATGTCACCTCCTGAGACGGTTCTCCACTGAGTGCACTCCAAGCACTTCTCCAGTAGAGTACCCTGTTTTCTTTGGAGAACCAGACTGTCTCCTAGACAAACTTTAAGCTAAATGAGGACAGTGACTTGTCTTGTTCGTCACATAACTCCAAGGTACAGCACACCGAGGGACAGCGGAAAGGTACTAATAGTTTTCTCAATAAATGAGAAGATTATAATCACTATGTATGCGTGACAATAGGGCAAATATTGTCTAATGAAACAAGTTTCAAAATTTTGCTACCCTAGACCAGTGGCTCCCAAATGAGAACCAAAGATCCATGAGGGCCCTCAAAACTATTTTATATCTGCACATCTGTGTCACACCACCTTTTCTGTGCTTACTTCAACCAAAACCACATACTTGGACAAATAGAATGAAGAGCATGTAATAAAATTAAGACAATAAGTCAGATATTATAGAGATTTTCAAAAATGTTCTGGTTAGTTTTTATTATCAACTTGACATGAGCCAGAGTCACCTGAGAAGAGGAAGTCTCAGTTGAGGGATTTTCCAGACCAAATTGGCCTGTGGCCATGTCTGTGGAGAAGTCCTGATTGTTGACTAAATAGAAGGGCCCATCCCACTGTGGGCAGTGCCACCCCTGGGAGGTGGGTCTGTCCTGTGTAAGAAAGGTAGCTGAGGAAGCCAGGGGCAGCACACCAGGAAGCAGCGCTCCTCCACAGTCTCTGCTTCAGCCCCTGCCTGAGCACTCGCCTTGACCTCCCTCAGTGTTGGACTGTGATCTGGAAGTGTAAGCTGAAACAAACCCTTTCGTCCTCAAGTTGCTTTGGTCATGGGATTTATCACAGCAACAGAATCAATTAGAACAACCACTATTTTCACTACCTAGGTTTTTGCATTAAAAAAGTGATCAAACATTTGGATATGATTATTCATATTAATTAATTAATTATATTTACGTTAAGTAAACAAATATTTTTAAAATTTCTCAATGAGAAATTTTAATGTAATGCATATTAATAAATATAACCTACATATACAAAAAATTTCTGGGTTTTCAAAATATTAAGCTTATAAAGGGATCAAGAAGCTATTTGCCCATTTAGACTGATGACTTTTCTGGAGTCAACTTCGTACTGGGTCAATAAATTGACAAGGCAATGGATATTATTTGGCCTTCAGGTATGATATTCAAATATTATTTTCTTTATTTTTTTGTGACAGTTTCTGGCAGGCCTGGAATTTACTTCGTAACCCAGGCTGGCCTCAAACGTATGGACAATCCTCCTGCCTCAGATTCCCAAGTGCTGGTATTACAGACAAGCGTCAAATATTCTTTCATGACATCTTTTCCACTAGTTTTTACTTATTAAAACAAGTATTTAAATCATTTACAGTCTCTGATTATACAGCCTTTGCCACTAAAGCAAAATTTCCAGGTATAGGGGCTAATGACAAAGATGGAGCCACTAGAAATAAAAATCTATCATGGACAACATAACATGCACAGTCAGGTATATGAGAAAGCGGTTCATATTATGACAAAAACCAACTTAAATAAAGTTCCTTTAGTGTTCTTTTATATTTGAAAATTGTAAAGAATCAAAACAAAGTATAAGATCAGCTTTCTGAAAGGAGATACATACCTTGTGTACCGACAATCTCCATGTGAAGGTGAGCCAGACCACTAGCTATTGAAAGTGCCAGCTTGACCATTCCAGCCACAGTCACTATGTTTCTATTCAAATAGTCATATAAGGAGCCCTGTTCATGGTACTCAGATACAAGCCAAAGTTGAGTCCAAGTTCCATTATCTGACAGGAAAACATAATTTGTTGTTGAAGATGTTGAGAAAGAAGGGAAGAACTCTTACCAGTGTCAGTATTTAAAGTTAATCTGTACTTTTGGCAAAGCAAAGTCAATTCCTTCAGGAGGGGTGCTTAGAGCCCAAGTCAGAAGGGAAAAAAGTTCTCAGTGAGCTGTTGAAGATATTGTATGGTGGATTCTTCCATCAAAACAGGAAGTTGTAAAGTAGTTGTTCTAACAGTTGAATGGTTCTTTTCCTGCTCCCTCTGTTACAGAATAGCAGAAACTACTGAGAGATGCATTGTGGGAGAAACTGCTGAGAGGCACATTTGACCTCGGTGTGGAGCTGTACATTAAGCAAAACTTAATGTGCATAAGCAAAGCTGTACATAAGCAAAGCTTTTAAGAAAGATCATACATGGGAACAGAGAGATGGCTAGGAGTTAAGAGCATGGTTGCTCTTGTAGAGAACCTGGGTTCAATTCCTAGTACCCACATGGCAGCTAACAACCATCTATAACTCCATTTCCAGGGGATCCAACACCCTCTTCTGACCTCCACCAGCACTGTATAACACGGGTGCACCTACCTACATGCAGGTAATAAACTTACACATAAAATAAAAGTAATAAATAAAATATTTTTTAAAAGAAAGATATCAATAAAGACCAGCAAAACAACAAATTTACCCAAACTATTATTACCACCCTAAGGGCTCTAACACCCTAACAATGCCCATGATGTCTGCCTTTAAAAATAGGAGGTTATAGGAGGTTATAGGAGAAGGATGGTGGCTCATGCCTTTAACCCCAGGCAGAGGCAGGGGAATTACTATGAGATGGAAGCCAACCCAACTGCAGCGGTCTACAGAGTGAGATCCTGTCTCAGAAAACAACAAAACGGAACAAAACAGTTTCTCCAAATATTTATATAAAGAGCCAAATGTCCTCAAATGAAACATTTCATTTAATCAAAACAATCCAACATTTTTAAAAAGACTTCTAGCAGAAGAGGAATTTGCCTAACACTTCTCCATATATTAGGATCCTGACAAATTAGTTTTAACTTTCTAAATGAAGTGTCTCTAATAATATGGCCAATTCCAACAAGTTTTGATTCTCTAGAAAATATTTCTACAGAGAACAATTGCAAAGGTCCTTCCTGACAGGTGCTGCATGTTCAGGAGCTGCTTGTTATCCAACTATTTCACCTCCACATCCAGATAGTGATAAATAAAACTTCTTGAAATACAAAAGCTAGTACAATAAGGTAAATGTCACTAATGACCTTCCCACGTACTAAACTCACCCTTAGACTCTTCCTGACTGAAACCTGTGGCTTACTATGCTCTCTCTCATAGCAATGTCTCCATCAGAAAGTTGGTTTAAAAGTAAAACTGAATATGGTACACAAATAAAGAATTGTGAAGATATTAGAGACCACTTAGCATCAGGCACAAAGTGGCTGATAAGCAAGGATGCGACAGAAACCCATTAAACTAAAGGAAACAAGGATGACTCTTGCACATACAAGTTTATAAACCATTAAGCACTGTGATTAAACTAGTACATAAGATGAGACATATAACTAGTTGCTACTGCATTGATGGCATTGCAGTAAATAGTTCAAGATTAGCAAGGGAAAAATAAGTTTTTAATGGTGAAACAAGATGTCTCATTTTCAAAAATCTGAATGAGGTTTCAAAGTATGTGTCACTGAGAACTTGGGAAGAACTTTTCCTCTTAGCTCATCTTGGCTTTACTCTTTCCTTCCTTGAAAATCAGAACTAGGAAACATAAATACGGTCAAAACGTGATAAATTGCTGAGCCTCTTCTTGCCATCCACTTAATAACAAATACTCCCATGTTCAAGTTTTTATTAGATCAAACAAACATAGGTTTCTAATTTTCACAGGCAATGGTGGAAGACTACAATCTACAGATGGCTTATCTTAACCTTTTTGGATGAGGTAACAATTGTGATTCTATACTGTTCTTCATAGGTCTGATTAAAGTTATAATTTAAAACCTAACTGGACTGAGTTTTGCTCACTTTTGTCTATATTTCCCTATGTCAAGCAGTAAAATGAATAACAGCTTCATAGAAGAAAAAAAGAATAGATAATCCACAAACTTTATATCCAGCCTTAATTACCCTGGCATATATACAATATTTTAAGAGTAATGATTTATTTTTTGAGGCAGGGTCTCCTTGGTAGCCCCAGCTGGCCTGGAACTTGCTATGTAGACCAGGCTGGCCTCAACCTCACAGAGGTCTGTCTCCCGTTGCCTCCCAAGTGCTGGAATTAAAGGCGTATGCTACCATGCCCACCAAGATTTTAAATATCAAAAGGGTGATGCTCTGTTTTGCTCCGGGGGACTAAATAAAAACAATTTTTTGCTTCTCAATATTAAACTTCAAATTTAAGTCATATTCAAAGTAACAGTAATGGTAAATTTCACCAATAAAACCTTGCTTATCCCACTCTACCACAATCTAGAAGCAACATTGCTGAAAATTTGAGCCCTGCAGACAAAGCCTATCACACAGATGTAATGCTAACATTCATAAGTATGTCTGCCCAGGTTATTAAAATAGCAAAATATTTCCAACTCAGTTGATAAACAGCTACTGTTCAAAATTTCTAACGATACTCCACTGCCCCACACACCCAAATGCTCCTCCACCTTCTAAAATGCCCCTAGATCTTTCCATTACCCAGTGGTGATGCCTAGGCTGGCAGGGTTTCCTAGAATGGGCCTCCAGCTGAGGGCCCTGCTTTGCTGGCTGGGTCTTACCCAGCACCAGTCATCTAATACTTTAAACATCAACCTGGTACATTCCAGTCACTTGCCCCCTTCACTGCTTCATTATGGACATCTATTTGTGGGAAAGAAAAAAAATCTCTTCTCAACACAAAAATTGGATTTCTGGGTATTTTGTTGAAAGAAAGATGATTCCCATGTGACCACTGATGTGAAATCTTCCCTTGCTGGTCTCAGTTAGACTGCGCTCACCTTTATTGTCAGCGGCGATGAAGCCAAGAATGTTCTCATGTCGCAGCATCACCGTCTGATAAATTTCTGCCTCACGAAACCAAGATCTTTCATCTCTGGAGGAGAAGATTTTCACAGCCACATCTTCTCCACACCATCTTCCATGCCACACTTCCCCAAATCGACCTTTCCCCACGATTTCTTGAAGTACAATCGTCCTTGCAATCGTTCTTTGAACCAAAAGAGGCAGACCTAATCAAGGGAAGGTGGAATTGAGTGAAACAAAAGTCACAAGAGAAATGGTATGATGGTCACTGTGTTAAACAAAAAGCAAACATTCAAGCACTTCAATAGTAAGCATCATTATGACAAACTTTAATGCCAAGATAAGCTTGGCAAAATGCCCCAAGTAATTAATTTCCATTCTCTTCTTCACAAATAAAACTTTTGGGCAAAGTCTGCTGCTTCAGATATCTGATTTCTAAGAACTGCTGCAAATCTCCCTAATTACCCTGTAATGCCACGTTTAACACTTAAAATAAAATGTACAGTTCTTGGTACAACGAGGACAAAAATTCTTTGTGTTTTTTTTCAAAACAAAATTAAAATTTACATGTAAGAAATCAAATTCAAAGACTGAATAAGATAATCATGTTACACCAAAAATATACTTTTGGTGGAATGGAAATTCAAATAAAATACGTTCTGTATATTTGTATAATTTGTTGTTTTTGTTGTTTTTGTTGTTTTGAGACAGGGTCTCACTATGTAGTCCTGGCTAGCCTGGAATCTGCTATGTAGACTAGGCTACATAGCAGCGTCTCAAACTCACAGAGATCTGCCTATCTCTGCCTTCTGTGCTGAGATTAAAGCATGTGCACCATGCCCAGACTGGCTTTAAAATAGCAATTATACTTCTAAAATTCTATGCTAAATATTTAATTCAAATGCACAAAATTTATGTAAAATTATTGAATACATTGTTATTTATAATAAATAAAAAGTATGGGTTTCAAGTCATGAGAAAATTTGTGAAATATAGTCCAGATATTCCAATCACAGATGAGTAAGACCTACTGCCTTCTTTCGACTGAACCACATGATAATCAGTCTTGGGCCAGTTTTTGAACATACCCAAGATTTAGCTTTATTCTCTGAAAAATGAGGGATAGTAAATATCACCTAACTTGTGGGATAATGCAGGGCTTGATAAGGATGTTAAGCACAGTATCTGACATAGTGCACACTCGATGATGGTTCTCCTCTTAATATTAACCTTTCCACAAATTACGCAGACTGATACTAGTGGTAGACAAAGCTGGCTTCCATCTCACAAAGATCCACTTGTGATCTTGGCCTCCAGACTAAAGCCATGTGCAACCACACCCAGCTTTAGAGAGATATTCTTAAATGACACAGGAAGCTACTTTTGCTACACTGTTGATGAAAACAGCATAGTAAATTTTATCCTACAAGTACAAATATATTGCTCTTCACTGATGAACAGAAAAGAGACTGAACGACATGGTGGAGTCAGAGTGTGTTAACGATAACGTCTTTCTCATCTTTCACATTTTCATAAAGTCCACAAAGGGTATTTATTACTCCTATAACCTTAAAATCAGAAGGAAATAGTTAAAGAGGCTACAGAATGAATTCATTCTAGAAAGGCAGCTTTGTTATTGTCTCTGTCTTCAAGTTGCTGGGTCAACAACAACCTCATGGCTCCTGGAGGCATAAGCCCCTGATCCAAGAATGAGCCACTGTTTATTCAAATGTTCTCATCTCCACAACCACCCACCATGGTAAACAGGCACAGATTATAAATTCACTGGGATGAACCTCAACGATTAGTCGTGGAGACCCACAGTATAAAAGTTCCTTTGGAACCATCTGGTTCAACTTCATCATTTATTGATGAGAAAATTAGAACCTGACAGTAATCAGACTTCAACAGAGTATGTTGCTGCAGGAGGCTGACTGGGAATGTCTTGTCACCAGTGGAGGGATAGACTTGTGATCCCCTCTGTAGGAAGCTGTCCAGCGGCAAACAGCAAGGGGTATTTTTGTAGGCGACAGTCAATGTTGCTTTTGATTATACAATTAAAGTGACACTAACAATTATTAGGTCAAATCTAATCTCAGTGTGTTCCTCCCCACACTGTGCCCACGTACACACACACGCACACACACACACACAAGCTTGCATACACACAGGCACGCATGTATACACATGCTCACAAAAAAAAATCACCACTGACAATCAACATCACCATCACTGACACAAGGAATAGAGAAACTGGTAAGACAGTGTTTTCAAACTGAAGTTAACGAAACACCCACTCAGTGGTACAGGCCAGGGACAAAGAAAGGCAACATATACGGAGTTCAGTGGAGCAATGAAGCTGAGACAGTGAAAATGAAAGTTCTTTCAGCATCTTTCAAAGCCAACACCAAAATTTATCTGAGCAACCCTTGTGTTATCCACCTACAAAGGTAGACTTTGCCTCTTGTGGAACGTTCATTTTAATATTTCACCAGCGATTGTAGAAACTGGCATCTGGCTTGTGTCACCATCTGCCAGGACGTTACACTATAAGACAAAGAAGGAAACTTACTCCTAGTCCCTTAAGAGCCACCTGAGACACAGCCTACTCTCTAAGACAGTCTAATAAAGCATCAGCTTGTTTTCGTTTTGTAGGCTCTACACCTCTTTTGAAATTTGTTTCTGACTAGGTCAAGGATAAGCTTCATAATTTTGGTTTCATAATGTCTGACAAAGCTACCTCACATTCAAGGTCTCCAACCAGTTAAGAAACTCAGAGAGGAATCTAACTAACCCAGTCTCCTCTCCAGGGGTGAGCTTCTGTGGCAAAATCCTTGCTGCGGTAGACCCTTTCTCTGATGATCAAAGACATCTGCTTTTATCTGAGGGTCATTGCTAAACATATACGACCAGCTTTAGGAAAACAAAATGCTTAAAGCTTTTCAAATTTGTCTTTAAAGAAATTATCTGTGAGCCAGGCCTGGTGATGCAGACCTGTGTTCTCAACTACTTGGGAAGTTTAAACATGAGGTTCACAAGTTCAGTGCTAGCCTGGGCAACTTAATGATCTCCTGTGTCAAAGTAAAAAGTGAAAAGGAGTCGAGGGATGTAGCTCAAAGAAAGAGCACTTGCCCAGCATGTGTAAGGCCCCACACTCAATCTTCTACGCTGCAGAAAGAAATCATCTATGCCCGTGTTTACTCTTTCCTTTCACAGATGTCTTAAAATAATCATTAGGAAGAGTTCAGAAGCCAACAAATTCATATTTATGCTTGAAGATTCACTTTAAAAGCATCAAGAAACTTAGTATGAAATTTTGGGTTTTGTGTCCAGTTTGTTGGCTCCTTCCTTTTTAAAAAAAAATTAATTGCATTTTTTGATTTGTGTGTGTATGTTCACGTGCGTGTGCACAGTGGTACATATGTGCCATACGCATGTGTGGTCAGAGGGCAACTTTCAGGAGTTGGTTCTCTCCTACCATGTGAATTCTGGAAATTAGACTGTGGTTGTCAGGTTTCATGACAAGCACCTTGACCCACTGAGCTATCTCACTAGCCTCTGACTTCTTTCTCTTTTTTTTTTTTTTTTTTTTTTGTTAGGGGTTTCCTGTACACCCCCCCGCCCCCCCTCTCCCCACGATTACCCCCCCCCCCCCCCCCCGGGGGTTGAATTAAAGGAGCGGTCCCCCCGCCCCGCCGTCAGTATTCTTTCCAGGTGCTACCACGCTTGGCTTCTTTTTTTTTTTTTTTTTTTGAGATAGGGTCTTCCTGTAACCCCAGCTGACCTCAGTCTCACAGAGATTCACCTGCCTCTGCCCTCTGAGTGCTAGAATTAAAGGCATGTGCCACCAGGCTTGGCTCAATGACTTGTTTCTTAAACTACACAGCCACTCTCTCATTTTTAATCTCTATTTTTATTTTGAGGAGAAATCCTTCATCATATTGAATATATTTAAAGAGTAGCTATAAAATATACAAGTACTATGGCTAAAAGAAGCTTTGGGGAGAAAAGGTTTTATTTGACTTATACTTCAGGATCATAATCCATCATTGAGGGAAATCAGAGTAAGAACTCAAAGAAGGAATCTAGAGGCAGGAGCCACAGAGAAATGCTTTTTGTTTGCTGGACTATGCTCAGCTAGCGTTCTTATATAGCCTAGGACCACATGCCCAGGGTTGTATTGTCCACAGTGGGCTGGGCCCTCCTATATCAATCAATAGTCAGGACAAAACCCCACAGACATGCCCACAGGTCAACCTGATCCAAGAAATTCCTCAATTGAGGCTTCTTCTCTCAGATGGTTCTAAGTTATATCAAGTCGACAATACAAACTAATGAGAATATTCTACCCCTTGTCAAATTGACATATAAGCAGACCACTGTTAAACCATAACCTTTCCTTTCACGCTTGTTCCCAAGATCTCATGTTGATATCACAATATTATTTACATACAATACAATTTTAGAAGTCAAAGTTCTCTTTTTTTATTTATTATTTTTATTTCATGTGTATGTGTGTATTGTCTACATGTAGGTAAGTGCACCCATGTCATGTAAATGCCCATGGAGATCAGAAGAGGCTGTTGGATTCCCTGGGACCGGAGTTATGGACAATTGTTAGCTGCTATGTGGGTGCTGGGATGCTGTTCTGCAAGAACAACCTGTGTTCTTAACCGCTGGGCCATCTTTCCAGCCCCCAGAAGTCAAGGTTCTCTTTAAAAATCCAAAGTCTCTTAACTGTGGGCTCCTGTAGAATCAAAAACAAACTAAACACTCTTGTATTCCAGGTGGGAAGAACTGTGGCATAGGAATAGTGACACTTAAGCAAACTAAAATCCAGCAGTGTAATTCCAAATCTTGTAGGTCAATATTCAACATCTGTGACTCACTCATGATCTTCTGAGTTCCAAAGGAATTGGGCAGCCCCATTTCTCCAGATCTGCCATCCATAGCACACACAGCTCGTTTCCTAGGTTCAGGCTGGTTCCATTCCACATCTGCCACTGCCCTTTGTCTTATGGTCCTAGTATCACCAATATCTTGGGGTCTCCCACTGCAACGAGGCTGCATGCACTTCACCACTGGCCTCTCTTGGCCTATCTTCAGGAGTACCACCCTACCATACAGCACCAGGCCATAACTACTCTCCATACCACCTCAATCCTTTATCTCTCATACCTTCAAACCTAGTACCCTGTGGGTGACTCTTAGATATTGCCAAGTTTGGCAACAAGCTTGAGATACAGCCTTGGCTCCCCTGGATCCACGGCTTCTGTGTGCTGACCCTGAGAAAATATTTCCATATTTCATGTCACCAATGCTGATTTCTGGTTAATAAAAGCGGATTCTTCAGCCCCCGATGACCAGCAACCGCAGATTCTTCATTAAAATATCACATAAACAGCCCCAATGGAGTCTTTGCTTCCCTCTGAAACTTTACAAGCTAGGCATCCACTGTTGGCATTTCTTTGAGCATTCTTATCTGCCAAGAGCCCACAGAACAAGCCATAAAGTTCTGAGTACTTAATGGATTTTCTAGCACAAAGCTCCAAAATCCTCCACCTTCCTTCCACAAAACAGTTCAAGGCATAAAGGCCACCTGGTCAGGTCCATCACAACAATACCCCCCACTTCTCCTCCTAACAATTTCTGTTCTAGTTTGCTTTCTGTTGCTGTGATAAAACACTCTGACCAAAAGCAGCTTGTGGAGGAAACAGTTTATTTGGCTTATACTTCAGGATCACAACCTACCAATGAAGTCAGGACAGGAAATCAAGACAGGGACCTGGAGGCAAGAACGATGTAGAAATGTTGCTTTTTGGCCCACTTCCTGTCTTATATTCAGCAAGCTTTCTTTATGACCTGTTGAGGGATGGTACTGCCCACAGTGGGCTGGGCTCTCATACATCAATTACTAGTCAAGACAGTACCCCACAGACATGCCCATAGACCAGCTTGACCCAGGAAATTCCTTAGTTGATGCTTCTCTCAGATGATGCTATGTTGTGTCAAGTTGACAATAAAAGCCAACCTAGACACTATGTAACATCATCAAGTGGACTAAAATGTTTTTGTGGGTATTAGATAGGTAGCTAATCTGTCATTTGAATATTATATAGAAATGTGTTTTCCAGAATTTAGCATAAATCAGACTTCTTTGTATGTAGAATATTGCCAGTACTCAAAAACTTAAGCACAGAAGATCTCAAAATGCAGTATCCAAGCCAGGTGAGTTAGTCTACACCTTTAATCCCAGCTTTCAGGAGGCAGAGGCAGACAGATTGCTGTGAGATCAAGGCCAGCCAGGGATGGTCTACATAGTGAGCTCCAGGCCAACTGGGATGCATAGTGAGAACCTGTCTTAAAAAAATTGTAGCATCCAAAGAACCAGAGTTTTAATCCCAAGGAACAATGCTTTTAAGAAAAAATGTGAGTCTTCTATACAATAACATAATTTAGATTCCAGGTTTATAAACTTTGCTACTGCAAAATTTTTCTCTCTTGGTTTCCTCTTTACAATATCCCACCTGATGCTAGAGTAGTGCTGTAGACAGTGGGACTTTTCTGGTCAGTGAAATTGCACTCTTTTCTGGTGAATCCAGAGCACTTCCTGTTAAATATGGATACTCATGTGAATGGGGTGCCTCTATCACCTGCCTCTATTAATCATGCCTGCCTGGATGCTACTCACAGCCTCCAACAGGGAGTTCTTCAAAACTGGTTTGGATAATGAGGGTTTTTTTTTGTTTGTTTCATTTTATTTGAGACAGGATTTTGCCATGCATTCCAGGCTGTGCTCTTACTCACAAGGCTCTTGCTTCATCCTCCCTAGCACTGAGATTATGGGCAGGTGCTAGCCTGCCTGAAGAGTAATGACCTTGGTGAGCCTTCTAAAGTAAGGAGAGATGCAAGAGCTTCCGAGGTGATCCACCTGGGCTTATCCTTGTTCATAATTCTAAAAATCCAACTGCTGGCAAGATTTCTGGAAATTCAGATGGGATGAGGGGACTCCCTACAATTTCAGGGAAAAGACCTGCTCTGTCCCCAGCAAATGCTTTGTGCTATGAAAAAGTCTCTTTTATTCAACACACAGACTGGTCCTTGAAATTCCTTCATCAGGGGTCTGGAGTCCAATAAAGAGAAAGAAAATATAACCTGGGCATAACCTTGAGTAGATGACCTTGAGCAACAGAAAGCAGACAGGGATACTGGGAGCTTCCTTTAGGTTCTCACTTCTAGGCTTTCAGAACATAGTATTGATTTAATTCTAGATCAGTTCCTTGTTTGCTTTGCAACCACAAACACATGCACTCAAAGGACACTGTTTTGTATAACTAAAATTTTCCCAAGGGTCACTGTCTCAAATAGAATAATCTTAATTGCTCTGTTTTCATAAAAAAGGACCAAGAAAGCAACAGTGACTGTTTCCAATCATAATGGGAAGAGATAGAGGACAAAAAGGAAGCTAAAATAAATAAAATAATAATAAAATCCTGAAGGTATAAGAAAATGAGAATCTGAACACGTAAAGTTTCAGAGGGCAAGCCATGAAAGTTTTCTTCTCCATTTAATCTTAAAAGGCATTTGTATGCATGTGTTTATTATGCATTTCATGAAACATTTCAGCTAGTGGAGCTCATATTGAGCACTTTCATCAAAAAAGATTTTTCATTTACTTTTAAATAAAAGTTTTCTTGCTGGAAACATACACATACCAGAGCCTGAGCCCGAAGCGGTCACGTCATAAATCAGATCTTTGAGCGTTTTTCCAGCATTTACCAGGTTGCACTCTGCCAGCGGCTCCTCCACGTTGTGTCTCTTAGTCTTTCTGTATGCACACTGGCGGTCCTGGCATGCCCAGATAGTCAGCATGGCAGCTATGGACAGGAGGCAGACAGGCACAGTGATGACAACCGTCAACTCTGTGGGTCCAAGTCTGGGGGTATTTGGTGATGCTGCAGTTTAAAAAAAAAAGAAAGAATGGAACCATAAATCAACTTTTTAAATATATTTTTGACATTTTGTTTTTTAAAATATAATTTTATTCGTGCATGCATTGTTAGAATTTGTTTCCAGTAAACATATGAAAGTTTTGTACTAATTTTAAAACCAATTTTTATTTTATTTTTAAGATAGGGTCTTAGGTAGCCCAGGCTGTGGTGGAACTAGGTAGCTGAGGATGACCTTGAATTCTAGATCCGCCTGCCTCCACCTCACCAGTGCTGGGACTACAGATGTATACCACAAAGCATAATAATATATCTATGAAATAGATAATGTGAAAATGTCACAATGAAACTCATTCATAAGTTGTATACAAGTTGAAAAAATTAGTTTAAAAACACTTATTTTGAAAAAAAAATATTTTGTAAACTCCAATGCAATCACCAAACTTTTTCACCTAGAATATACAGTTCCACACTGCATGTATAAAGCCACAATCATTATCAAAGACCATGATATAAGCAAAGATGGAGAAAGAAAACCAGAGCTGAAGGCAGCTAAGCTATACTGGGAACTATGGGAGATAGGGTTAAGGTTATGGAAAAGCACTAGTATGGGAAAGTTTTTTATAAAAAACCTCCTAAGTACTTGATACTTTTATTTTTACTATTTTCTCCCCATTATTCAGCATCCCTGTCCATACAGCAAATGCATCCATCCATCCATCTATCATCCAGCCAGCCAGCCAGCCAGCCAGCCAGCCAGCCAGTCAGCCATTCATTCGTACATTCATTCATGACACAAATAATCACTGAGATATGTTCTTGGGATATGTCTGCTACTACTCCAGGTACTGAAGAGAAATGGTGAGTAAAGAGCCCAAATCCCTGCTCCCTGGACATGTAAATGCTCATAAATCCCTACAGCTAAGCAGAGGGCTGAGTAGCACAAAGGCAAGAGGGGATAAGTGCTTTAAGGATGAATCAATGAGGAGAGAGTGATGGCAAGATGTCACTTTACATTGAATGGTTGTGGAAGGCCCCTCTGGGGAGATGTTACAGAAATAATGAAACAAAGGAATCTCTGAATGAAAGGCAGGGATGTATGGGCCAGTTGGGGAAAACTAGTGCAAAGGACCCAAAGGTGGGCACCTGCTTACTTAGTTAAGAAACATGTCCTTGGATGCAGGAAACAGGGAAAGAGAGAAGGAAATGGGGTCAAGAACTTCTCAGGAAACCTTGCATGGTGTCTTATGGCTGGGGTGGGATATGGTAGAACTTTTATTCCAAGTAGCCACTTTGTCAATAGACACTGGGGAGACAAGAATGAAAACAGAGACCAGCCAGAAACCCAGTTCAACAAGGAGGTGATGGTCTTAGCTGACAACCCTGCCAAAAAGAACTGTCATGAAGCTGGGTATAGTAAAACACAGCTGTAATCCCCAAAGAGCAGGATTGGGAACTCAAGGCCAGCCTGGGCTACATTGTCAGTGCATCTCAAAAACTAAAAAGGAAATGTAAATTTAATAAAAGTAGATAATCAGTAAGGAGTTCTTAAATGTCAGGATCACTAAAAGTTCTAGTTTTGTTCCTGATAAGTAAGACACCTTTCACTTTAGAAAAATTAATGTGATATAACAGAAAAATATACCTAGGGTCTGGGAGATGGCTTAGTGGGTAAAGCACTTGCCACACAAGTATGAGGACCAGAATTTAGATTTCCAGAACCCATGTAGTAGCTGGTTGGGCATGATGGCCCACCTTAACCCCACCTGTAACCCCAGCCTAGAAAGACGGAGACAGGAGTCCAAGAGCAAGCTGGCTAGTCAGATGAGCCAAATCTTTAAGGTCTGGGTTCAGCGAGGGACTCCACCTTGATATATAAGGTGGAAAGAGATCAATGAAAATATCCAACATCAACCTCTGGCCTCCACACCCACAAGGGCACACATGTGCACCCACACACATTTGAACAAGGATACATTCGCATGTGTATACCACACATATGCATAAGGAAAAAATATATAATTAAATTTGTAGCCATCTTTAAATCACACATGCCAATTTTTTAGACACTTCCTGTAGCTATCAAAAGAAGTTATTTTGCCACTTGAAGCTGGAGTACTGTTCATTTCCTTTTTGCTCACTGAGATGGCCTTAGTGTCAATTTAATTCTGTATGCATGTCCTATCACAAGGGTGCTGATTTTTGTTTTTAATAAGCCTTGAGATCTATTTGACAGACTATGGCAACAGAATTTAGGAGATTCAGGCTGTCAAAGGAGATCATCTCAAACATCAAGAGAGAGAAGCTTGGCTAGGTTGTGAGTTGCCTCCCTCTCACGTTGAACCTTGGAAAAACTGCCCCCTACACACACACAGACACACAGACACACACACACACACACACACACACACACAGAGACAGAGAGACAGAGACAGAGAGACAGAGACAGAGAGACACAGAGAGAGACAGAGCTCTTACTCCATCCAGGCCCTGAAGAGGTTCAGCGACCATCATCAGGAGCCTAACACCTGCGCCTTAGACTCCAAATAAGTGTCTATGACAGTAGGCTTTGCAAATTACCAATGTTCCTCAGACTTCCTACTTTCTAATGAAAACTTGAGAACTTACTACTTTAAATGATACTTACATTTTATTTATGATAGGCCAAAAATACTTAATTCTAAAAGAAAAACTCAAATTCCTCCAAAATGTGTTCATAAATGTTCATCATAATTCTAACAGTTTTTAGTCTGCTAACAGTAAGTAAAAGACTCAAGTTAAGTGGATTCTGGATGCACAATCCAGGTTCTTCTGCTTCCACAGTAACTTCCACCGGTCACCAACTTTTCTTTCCTTGTGTTTCAGGACTCCTTTGAGAGCGTTAGAAGTTACACAGATACACGAGGAAGGCAATGGAAGGTGAGCTTGGCCTTGAGTGCCCTTCAACAGGTGCTAAAAGTGTTCTCTAACAACTTTACCTTAGAAATCATTAACCAAGTCCTTGTGACTTGTAACATTTGCTGTTATAAAAGCATCTTGTTATCTATTTTATAATGATCGTTTTCAAGTTGTATCTATATTTTCAAGTCCTCACAAAGGTAGTCTAGGCATTCGAAGAAAGACACAATGTAACTTAACCTTCTGAATTAACTCTACTTTTAAAACACCTATTTAAAATATTAATATATTTTAACAATAAAATTCTATCATTGGATACAATTACATGGCTAAATTTTAGTTTTATATCTGATACTGGGAACCGCTATCATAAACATTGACCTTTAAAAGCTGTTGATTGCCTTCATTTTAGTAAAGCTCTATTAAGTAGAGCTCAGATCGTGTCTATGGCAACTAATAGAGACAAAAGGTCAACAAACCTGAAATCACAGTCACCTGTGCTAGTGCCGACTACCGCTCTCAGGATGCTTACTATGGATGGGCAATGTGTCTGCTTTTGTGAACAAATTTACTAATACAAGTTTGTAAGAAAAAAAAAAAAGATTACTCAGCTAGAAAGCTAGAAACACTCTAGCAATACTATCCAGAAAGAACTCCTTAAACACTGATCAATTTTAAAAGCAAACATTTGTAAAACTATACCTTAGACCAAAGGTTCACTGTAATCTTTATAAGACAGAAAATGAAGAAAAAGTGCAGTCTACAGCCAACGGATGATTATTGAAGAAGACAATGTAGCTAGAAAGATATTTTAGTAATTGATAATCACAGGAGAGCTTGTTTGACAATTTCTGATTTGGGGTAAATTGTAGAATTGTGCTGTCCATAGAAAAGGCAGCTCCTGGAAAGGATAGAAAACATTCCACAATTGTGGCCTTGGGGTAGCACTTCAGCACCAAGTAAGGCATTTCACTTCTAAGTCGATTAAATAGAAGAGGATGAAAAAAAAAACAATAGTACCAACCCAGTTCTGTGAGACCCCAGCTCACAAATATCTCCTCTTTAGAAGCTCTGGAATATATTAAACTGATAAGATGCAAGGAAAATAAGTACAATTATCTTCTGGTATTTGTGGAGACTGATTTTAAAAAATCACACTCAAGTCCCTTCTATAAAGTGGAATAGCACTTTTATATAACCTACACACAACTCCTCCACACACCTTGTCAATAGATTACTTCCAAAAACTAATACGATACAAACGCTATGTCACAGTCATATTGTATAGGAAATACCGACAAAGAAAACGTCTGTAGACGTATGGTATAAGCACAATTTTTTCTGAATATTTTTGTACTGCAGTTGATTGTATCTATGAAGGCAGAGCTCATAGAAATGGAGGGGTGACTATATTAACAAGGTAGAGGGAGGGAAAAAATAAAATAGGAGGGAAGGAGAGAGAGATGGAATAAGAGAGGGAAGAAGGGAGGAAGGGAAAATTGATTTCCACTTATTGCAGCAAATTTTGCAACTTGCCCTAGGAAGCTAGGTGGAGTTAGTGGTGGTGAAAGTCATCAGTGGCTGCTCTCACCCACCTGAAATACAGAGCTATCTGAGATTGATTGGCTCTTCCTGGGACTGCCCTCTACTCCTTTACCTCCTCACCACTTCCTATGTCCTGCTCTTAGGAGCAAATGCAACAAGATGCAGAAACCCCAGCTAATCAGGTGTTCTGATCACTCACCTTCTTATTAAAGGTTACTTTTATTATACACAGCTGCATTTGGGCTGGAACATGAAGTATTCCAGGCTCAGGAGCTAAATAATAATGCTGGTTTCTCTGTCTGATGTCCATGGGACCATGTGCTCAAGGGAGATACTCACAACCCTGGTCTCAACTTTCTGGTGCTATGACCATGATCGCCTGCTTCTTCACAGTGCCCATTATAAGATTCATCAGGAATGATCCAGTCACAAGCTCACTGGGTTAGGTCCCTCCAGCAAGCTTTGCTCTACATAGCAGCAAATGGGCTTCCTTCTGCACACAGTGATAGTCATGTCAAAAGCACTTTAGTCAATAGGAACCTTACAAACTGAACCAGGGTAGG